GGCGCGGGTGAGGGGGTCCAGGCGGAGCTGGGAGAGGAGATTTTGGGATTTTGGCTGCAGGGGGTGGACGGGTGTAGGGAGGGATTAGTATGGAAGAGAATAATCAGCAACTTACAGGGAAAACCAAGAGCTCGCCGGGGCGTGCTGTTGGGTATTGCGGTCGGAGCCTCACCTAGGTCTCCTCTCTCTTTTCTCTCAAGCTCTCAAGCATGAAGACAAAAGGAATTTCAGAAAATTTTCTTTAATCAATCATTAACCTCATACATCAAGAAAAGACCCCTTTATACAAGGTCTCAAAACATGAAAGAAAAGAAAAGACTCATATGCCCCTTGGGCTACAATAAACACGACGCCTACATAAGGGGGAAATCGTCACTCGTACATGAAATAAAAGATACACAAAATAAAATAACATAAGACAACATGATAAAATCAAAAATATAAACTCCCAATCGTAGCCGTCGATCTACGATTCCTTCGCCGATAAACCTGCCTAAAATGTCTGTCGATGACCTCATCAATATGTTTTTCTTCACGACAAATAACCATATTGCGCTAAGTCAGGAAAAAAAAAATTGCGCTAAGTCAGTTTTTCCTTTGTTGGAGAAAGGATAGTTTCAGAGTCAATGCAATTGCCCATTATGATATTTTCTGTTTTGATAAATGAGTTGACAACCTATTTCGGATCCCTTGCTAAGCAGCCATGTGTTGTTATTATCTCTTTTTATTCTTAGCCATATTCTTTTGCACTGAAGCGCAAGGAAAGCATTTACTTTTAAATCTAAAATCCTTAAGAATATGTAATGTAACCTCGTGGAGCTCACGCATTCCTCATGGATGCTTAGATTGTATGATTCCTTATTATTGGCGTATGTGATCATGTTGGCATGGTAATGCTATTTATGTTTGCAGGACATTTTCTATTTTACGAATGGTTCTAAAAATAGCTTGGCACTGTATACAATTCTGTTTACTGACAGTTCTCTTTTAAAATAGTTCATTTTCATATTTAATTTCTTTATATTTTTTTGCTTTACTGTTATGGATGGAGCAAGAGAGGTCACACCAACAATTTTGAAGGAACTAACTGGCTTGGAAGGTAAAGTCTGTCCTATACTGTCTAGCTGTCACTACCAAATTAATTACAAGGGATTAAGTCTATAAGCCATTGCCTTGCAACCTCAACATAACAAATAAATGAAAATACATTTTATTCCAATGAAACAATTCATTGTGAAAATTAAGCTAAATTGAATCAAAGATTGACTCCATGCCAAATCATATGAACTAACCTAAATCTAGGAAGTAAAAATATATCCCTCTCTCTATTACAATCTTTGCATGTTCTTAATTACATAAATAACCAATAAAATATAAACCAATGAATACAAATATAAAAATTTATGCTCAAATCATTGCTTGATATGATGCTTTTGATGAAATAAATAAACATGAAGATTTTTATCACATGGACTTAATATTGATCCTCGATATGATCCTATTATTATTGGTAAGTCTTTGGTCATTCCCCAACTACTAATTGCTTAGCACTATATATATAACTTCAGCATAATTTTGCCGCACACATTTATGTCTTATTCAACAATAATTCAATCATTGTGGAACTTGTTCATATGCCTTCTTAAGGATAATAAAAACCCTATTGGGAACCTTTATTTGCTCTCTATATATTTTTTATTAATTTTCTTAACATAAAAATCACGTTCATGGCAGTTCTTCTTGGTGTGAAATCAATTTGATTATTTCAGGTTGACTTAATATTTCATAGTCTATCTTCATTACTTTCCTACCTAGCTTTTTTGTTTTCCCTTTTTTTGCAGTTCTTTATAATTATTTTTATTATACGCGTGTCATTTTTTGTTATAATATTATTATCATTTTTAATTCTCATGTAGGTCTAAAGCTTTGCTTTTGCATGTCTTCTCAAAGCTATCTTTGCTTTATTTTTTTAGTTCAGAATGCTCATTATTTGGTTTATTATGTTATTCTAAATAAATTTTTACGCTCTTTTACCTTTTTGAATATAACCATTGTACTCCTTTTGCGAGCAATAATTTAAATCGCTAAGTGATCTATTTGTCATTTGTACAGCTTCGAAGCTTGCACCTAAGAAGTGGGGTCTTTCCGGAACTTCTAGGATTATGTTGCTTGGAATTTTAGGTGGCGCTAATCTTCTGATCTCTCAAGGAATAGACATAAGGCCTAATATTGCAGCGATATTAGGTTTGGCTGCTATTGACGCTGTTTTTCTTGGGGGAACTTGTCTTGCACAAATATTATGCTTTTGGCCTCCTTACAGGAGCAGAGTTCTTGTTCATGAAGCAGGGCATGTTCTAGCAGGTGACTTCTTAAGCTAGATATACAATCCCAACCATTTTATAACATATGCGTATTTGACCTCTTGGTGACAGAAATATGTGCAGCAGTCCATGAATTTTAAATCAATATTCTTTGTTGAAATAGTGAGTTTAAGGTTTCGTTTGGGACGGCTTTATTACTGCATCATAAAGCAGCTTTTCAGTAAAAAGTTTTAAAATTTTGAACTAGAAAGCTGTCTTAAGAAACAATAAAAAAGCCGCTCCAAACAAAGCCTAAATGACTAATTTAATTTAATTTTACCTTCAATTATTCCAGCATATCTGATGGGATGCCCTATAAGAGGGGTAATTTTGGACCCCATTGTGGCAATGAAGATGGGCATCCAAGGCTAGGTATTATATTATACGTAGATTTACTAATAGCCTTTTTCTTTTTCTGTGGTATTAGGACAATCTTCTCTACGTTGGAAAGTCGGATCTTTTTTCCATGCTTCTCTTTTATCAATTCTCAATACGGATTTATCTAAGAAATATGAGCACATGCATTTTACAATTAACAATTCCTAGTTTCTTACTTAGCTCTGATGAAAAATAGAAGAAAATTTTATTTGGTCATCGCCATGACTCAACCCCTTATCAAAAGAAACAAAAAATTGAATTTCTCATCAATGTAGCATGGGAAAAAAAAAATCTAACACAATTGCTTTATCATTTTCATTATTATTTTCCTTCTTATAATTGCTTCAGCATAAACGGAACCTGTTTGTGAAAGATTGGTTGTAAGACTACCGTACAGTGGATTAAATCTTCACATTCGCACAGGCGGGTACTCAATTTTGGGATGAGAAGTTAGAAAAAGAGTTGGCAGAAGGTCGACTTAGTAGCACAGCTTATGACAGGTAAAATATGTGAAGGTTGGAAAAGT